CTTAGCCCAAACAAAACTCATACTTTCATACGAATGTCACGTGCAAAATCTTAGAGGCCTCTAGCTTTCTAACAGCCCTCTCATCAATTAGCAGTAATCAAATGTATTAGTTCACAACATCAAAATAGATGAGTCCTATGTGGCAATATATAATAAATTAGCACATAAAACAAACGAACGGAGGCTATACAAGCTATGATAGCACACTAAGCCTCCGAGGCCTTCCCTGACAGATCATCACCTGAATTATCACCTGAAAATGTTAAACCACGGGGTGAGACAAATACCTCAGTAACCAACTTTCCAACTCATCATACATACTGACACGTGCTCTTGAGGTGTTAAGTGGGATAGTTATTAATTCTCGAGAAGCATAGATATATCCATAGAAATATAATTTTAATCATCTAAATCCTCACTATGGGGGCCAACACACAAGCAACATAAATCTATCCCTCACTATGGAAGATCAATCAGACATATAGGCCTATCCCTCACTTTAAGAGACGAATAAGAAGCTACAAAGGCTTATCCCTCACTATGGGGGAAGAAGGAAGAAGCTAACCAATATGCACCAATGGCGGCCTTATCACGTGGTAGGATAGCTTTCAATTCAAAATCCAAAAAACAACCAATCATTCACAATATAACGAAAAATGTCTCAATCTTTTCTCAATATAATCCATAAGATATAAATCATATATCGTTTTCAAAGTTCTCAACCACAATTCCAAAAGTCCCACGAGACAATTTTTATAGCTCAAAAGATATAATATATCTACTCGAATTCCAAATAACAAATATTATTCAAAAATAGGAAAATACTCATAAACAACATATTAGCACATATAACAAGTGGAAAATTGTTACCTCTCGCCAAAGTAATAAAAGGATTATCACGAGGCCAATCATTTTCTCAACCAATATTTAATCTACACAATTAATATAACCACATATTAATATAAACTAATTATTAATTAATTAATTAAGCTTATATATTAGTTAAATTCCTAATTTAATTTAATTTAATTTTCATTCTAAATTCTCACAACTCTTATAACCCAAAATTAAGTACTTTAGAACTAACTGATAATTTTCTAACAAGCTAAATTATTTATTTACATCCTCCAAATTATTTACTTTAAGAAAAGGAATTTTTCAAAATTTTTAAATATGAAATTACTATATTCTAAATTCTAAAAATCTCATTTGAAATTTAAACCTCAAAACCGAACCATAAAAAATTCAATAGTATCTCAAATATTTATATATATAAATAATCTAGTCAAAATTTTAATGGCATATATATATTTTCATAAATAATAAACTTTAACTACAATAATTATTTTAAAACCTCCAATCACCCAATAAATAAAACTAAACCAATTAAAATCTCAATAATATGTCAAAAAACTTAAATAAATTATTTAACTTAATTTCAACCGGTATAAATATGATATATCTCATAAATAACATATTTTTTAATTAAAAATTAATTTTTAAACATTAAAATCAACAAATGGACAAATTTAAATCAGAAGAAACGATCTACTATAACAGATCTACAATACTGTGGTTAACACTCACCAAAACTAAATACTTGCTCCAAACTCTATATCAAAAATTTTCTCTAAGCAACACAAAATTACTATCATTAGATAAATCTAACTAAGTAAAATAGCTTTCAAGAAGAAAGTTTTGTAATTAGAAATAGTTTTACTTACCAAACTATCTGAAACGATGGAGAAAGAAGGGAGAGAGATGAGCGACGCTGCAAGCGAAATGAACGCAGAGAGGGGGAGAGAGAGAGAGGAAGATAAAAAGACAGGGGGAGAAGGTAAAAAGAAAACACTCGGAGTAAACTGAAGTTAAAGACCCTAGGTAAAACGGAGAAATAACAATTTGGAACCCTTTTTTTCAATTTTTAAATATTTAAATCCTTGGAGTAAAATTTAAGATGTTACATTCTCAGTCTATCATCATCACTCATGACTGCTTCGTGGTGCTTCTATTACTCGATCTTCTTCTTTTACGCGTCTTCAAGGTGTGGAGAATTTCTGGAGCTCTAAAAAGTTTATGCAGTTTTAGCCACTCGCTTTGGAAAAAGTTTGTTGCTCATGCCATTAAGTTGCGCAACAACTGTGGAGCCCCTCTTTAAGTTTTTCTAGCGACGTTGTCATTCCCTTCACCACTGCCCCACCTACACTCTCACCCTCCGTCATGGTTCTTCAGTTTCTTGTGTTGTAAATAATAAATATACAGTGTGTTGTTCAAAAAACGGTGATTTTGTGTCATGAAAATCCTTATTTGTATTGTAAATTCATGAATTGTAGTTGTCCAGATAAATAGTGATTTTGTATTGTAAAAGCTCGTATTTCTGTTGTAAATTCATAAATTTTAGTTATAAATTTTTTGATGAGATCTTGCTGATAGAATAATAATCATTATGTGTTGGCTTATTTTTTATGTGGTATTTAGTGTCCTTATTAATGACATAATAATCATTATGTGAAGATGGTAAAAATGATGCAAAAGTTACTTGATGGAAGGTATTAAAGGCTGAATTTTAGGAACGAAACAAAGAAAAGATACGTGAGATAAGACTAATTACAAATGCTAGTTCAGAAGAGTGCAACAAAATGGCTGATATCGAGGTTTTATGTGTCGAATTCATTGTGTGGTGGCGAGAAAATATCAATTGTTATATTTCAATTTGACATGTAATTTAAACTAATTCAAAATGTGTTCAAATTTGTGTATATAAAATTCACACAGCTTTAATTTTAATATAATGAAATATATATTATGATGAGTGTATTAGTCAGTTAATTCTAATATTTTATTTTTTCCCACCAATTTGTAAGTTTGGGAGGGACTCTTCACAACTAGAGTACATAAATTTGCAATAGAGATACATAAATTAACAGGAGAAATATGTCTATTTGCGAGTGGACTAATTTATTCAAGAAGTTATACATGATAATTTGAAAGTCTGGAAGCTACTATTCACAACTAAAATATGCCAATTTACAACAAAGATACGTAACTTAACAAGCGAAACACATTCATTTACAAGTGAGCTTGTTCAAACATTTACATAATTGCCAGGCAATTTCAGTGCAGTACTTGAGACAGCTTATAACCAACCATCTTGAAATTTTTTATCTATTCACAGCATTATACAAAATCACTTATCTTGCACGTATAAGTACGAGTTCAAATATTACAGTTCAATTTATTGAAAAAAATGACATATTTCTTATTATATCGGCAAGATCTCATCAAAAAATTTACAACTAAAATTTGAAAATTTACAACAAAAATACAAGCTTTCACAATACAAAATCATCATCTATCTGGACAACTGGAATTCATGAATTTACAACACAAATAAGGACTTTTACGATACAAAATCATCGTTTTTTAGACAACACACTGTATATTCATTATTCATAGCGCAAGAAACTGAAAAACCATGACGGAGGGTGAGAGTGGGGGTGAGGTAGTGGTGAAGGGAATGACAAAGTCGCTAAATAAACTTGAAGAGGGGCTCCACAGTTGTTACACAACTTAATGGCATGAGCAACAAACTTTTTCCCAAAGCGAGTGGCCGAAACTACACAAATTATTTGAAATTCCAAAAATTCTCCACACCTTGAAGACGCATAAAAGAGAAAGATAAAGAAATAAGAGCACCACAAACCAGTCATGAGTGACCGTGATAGACTAAGAAGATTAGGAAAACAAAGACTTAGTACAACTTCGGCAATGGCAGCGAAGACGGATGGCGAAAGACGCAACAAAGCTGGATGAAGGAGTGAGCTTTAATTTAGGTTTATAAGAGGCAGTAAGGTCTTTATACTACATAAATTAATTTCATTTTGGCCCTAAAAAACTGTAGTGAGATTTCAGAATTATTTAGGGGTAGAATGAAATTAAGTCGCTACAATGGTCCTCTGATGAAATTCTCCCAATATTTAATGAGGATAAATTTAGGCCTCATTTGGTATGCTATTTTATTTACAGGGTTAGGTTTGAGAACAGAGTCATATGTAAAAGTAAGATTCTGATAAAATTTGGTGATGTTGGTAACAAAAAAAAATTGGTGATATATGACACAACAACCTTCAATAGTATGAAAATATATTAACAATTATTAATAAATATATCTTAAAATGTCATCAACTTATTACAGTAACAATGCTTAGTAGTGGCCTAGTAAGTGGGTAGGCGCTTCAGTTTCTAACGCAATGCATAGTGCCCCTTAAAGCTATTTTATTTTGGGAAAATTCCAAAAAAGATCCTTGAAATATAGAAAATTTCAAATTGAGTCATGAAATTTCGAAAATGACAGAAAGGGTCAATGACTCAATTTGTCATTTGTAAAATTAAAAGGAACTGACAATTTTACCCTCATTTGTATTCATTCACTACAAAGATTTAAGGAATCACTATAAAGGTTTAGGCGTTACCTAGATTCGTGTAGCGAATAACTATTCACTTTTTCATAGTCAGATGTCTTGTTATTAACTACAACTAATTTTGTAATCACTAAAACAATGTAAATATTGCCTAAATTCGTGAAGAGCATAATTATTCACTTTTTCATAATCAGGTACCTTATTATTAATTACAACTAATCTTGTAATCACTAGAACAATATAAACGTTACCTAGATTTGTTTAGAAAATAACTACTCACTTTTACTTAACCAAGGACAAAATTGTCAATTCGTCTTAATTTCACAAATGACAGAATGGGTCACTTACGCTTTCTGTCATTTTCGAAATTCCAAGACCCAATCTGGAATTTCCTATATTTCAAGAACCTTTTTTGGAATTTTCCCTTTTATTTTTGCATACTATCATTTTCCATTTTTGTTTAAAAAGACTTTCAATTTTTATATAATTACAATTCAGAAGACAACTTTACTAATTTATTTTAGTTACGAAAATCAAATTTTTGTTTCCTTGCAGTCGCACCTCAGTGAAACACAAACCGCCGAACCCTTCGTACATAGTTAACTCTTCATGAATGTTTAAAAAATTCTTTAAAAACAAAATTGCTGCTACTGATCCCAATAGTTTCTTAACTGTGACATGTGCAAGAGAAGCTCATCCCTGCCGAGTCCAGTGACACTGCTGGTCATAATCCACGGAGGATGTTGCCGGTAATTTTGTCTGATCAGCTCTTGAAAATCTTTGATGTTCTCATCAGGCCTTTTTCCCTTTCCCACCTTCATTTTGTCGCATTTTGTGAAGACGAAAGTGATGGGAATCTGACGTCCACAAAAGTGCAGGTAACGACCCATTTATGCAAGGTAACAAAGATGTACTCAGAAACATAACATCAGAAAGAAGCATACATACATTATTGCGCCCCAGCCAATTGGCACAATCAAAGTCAATCTTTTGAGGTGGAACACTTGCATCAATGAGAAGCAAGACGGCAACCAGAGTATCCCTGTTTGAAAAGTAGCCTTTTGTGAATGAGGACCAATCCATTCTTGCAGCTTGCGATGCTTTGGCAAAGCTGCATGAAATTCAATCATACTATATTAGCAGCTATTTTTCCGTCGATTAGTTCGTACTGGTCCATTTTAGCAGCTCACTTGTATGGAATAAAAGGGATTACAAGCTAACAAGAGAACAAAATAAAATAAAAATGACACCACTGCCTGCTGTTAATCATGTGTTGAGCATGATGATTTGAGTTCCTTTTTTTTTTTTGTGAAAAAAAATTTAGGTGAGTTGGGTCCCATAGGATCTTTAGGGCCAGAGTATGTCTCCAGGCTCAGAGAGCACTTACAAAAGTACGTACAGATCACCCACTAACAAGATCGTCACATCGTCAATGGGATTCAAACTCACAACCTTGTAAATTATGAACCAACTCCGAACCAATCGGACCAACTCTTGTTAGCAAGTTCCTGTATTATCATGCAGCATTTGTTCTTCCAACTTTTCTTTCTGTATAGTTAACAGATGTGAAAATCGTGTTCTGCCCTCCATTTGCAAAAGACGAATATGAAAGAATGCACCAGGAAGGAAAAGAGGCCAACTCAAAGTGCAGGGACGTAATCACACGTACAATGTTTTCAATCAGCATCTCTTGCCATTTCAACTCAAAAAGGTTCAAGGACATTACTCTGGATCAACTCAGTAAGCTAGAAGCAACAGAGGATGGTTGACTATATTCAACACAGTGCAATATTAGTGTCAACTCAAAATCAATATTTTCCTTCTTTAAAGCCACATAATCTTTCTACAGAAATTATCATTAAAATCATGAAGGGGCTAAAAACCAGGTGAACCTCCTAATCATACATTCTTTTTTCTTTTGCCATAACCATAAACTACAAATTCAATTTCACATGGGAGATTGTGACTCACCCATAACCAGGCAAATCCACGATATACCAACTTTTGTTCACCAAGAAATGATTGATAAGCTGTGTTTTTCCTATAAGCAACACCGAATCAGTTCACCCAAGCTATTATATAAGCTTGAAATAATCTCAAGAAGCAAAGAAAGTCAATTAAAAATAAAAAATAAACAAAACCTGGCTTCTTAGATGTGAGAGCAACTTCCTTCTTGCGAACCAGAGAATTTATGAGGGAAGACTTTCCCACATTGGAGCGACCTAAGATAGCGAATTCCGGTCGGTCATCCTTAGGGCAGTCCTTAGCCCGACCACTGCTCTTCACAAACTCAACCTCCTTTATACGGGCATCACCAGCGTAGGGCCCGACAACTATGTTGGATCCAGGAAGAATCATATCCTCGTTGACCTCATTGAGCTCTACTCCCGGGGGAACAAATAAGAAAGTTTTAATGAACTTGTCTGTACCCGAAGATGAAGGCTTTTGAGTCTTGGAGGATGCCAAAACATGCTGCTTTGGGTTTCCACTGGTTGAATGTGAAAGAGGGAATTGGAAAGAGAGAGAAAAAGTATCAATTTTCCCAAATTTCGAAGAAATCCATGTGAGATGAGGATTATGGAGGCTCATTACTCGACTTCTTAGCATCATTTTTGCATCTGAGACCTGGATTTTGGCTTGCAAATTTAGGAGCTCCAAAAGCTGAAGTTAAATGAAAAAGGAGGACGGAATAACTGAACAGTGTTCAAGTAATGACATCGTTTTGAAAAGCTAGGAAACTCAAAGTGATGGGTCATCATAAATATGAATATAAAAAATTTAAAAAGTAACTAAAAAATATATCAATATTAAATATAGAAAAAGTTACCTTGTTCATAAATTCTATTTTCTGTTTTGATCTTAAAATATTTTTATAGAGTTGATCTTAAAATATTTTTATAGAGTTGATCTGAAAATAATTCTTGAGAATAAAAAGCAAAAAAAAAAAATTGGTTAATTTGTTTTATATAATTAATATTTACTGAGCAAGACAAGCTAGCTCAAGGAGCTACTGTATATGGAAAAATAGGCAGGGTTAGATCATATCTACTAAAACCAGTACGTGCTAGTATGTTTTAAACCTGTAATTTTCTTCCTTTTTTTTTTTTTCAAGGAAATCAATGTAGAAGTTATCCTGAACTTTTACCATTGATATTTCAATATAAATCACATGCAACACCAATAATAAACACCATAACATACTTATTGATTGAGGCTGTGGACGGCTTGCACTAAAATTAAGGTTCAATACCATCCCAACATGCATTAACTGAAGAACCAATATATATTACACTTAATAAAATACTTCATATGGTAACTTTTAAGAAACAAAGTCAAGAGTACCGATTATAATCCATAACATATTCAAAAGTGAAGCTCAATTATAATCTTAATTTGGATCACTAGTTCAGCCACATGCATGCCTATCTGGGTATGCAACCAATCCACTGATTTTACTTATCATAAGCACTGCCATTCCAGATTTTTAGACAGCATTCAGCAGCACTTCCGCATTAACCAAATTCACACTCCACTTCAACACCACAATTTTACCCTCAAACTAACCACAATTTTACACGGATTTAAATGCTATGTCTAACACCGTTTGCTGCCCATAGTACCTCTTAAAGAAAAATCACACTTCAACTCATTTCTTCGACAAATTACAACCAAATATCATCATTCACAAGCAAATTACATCCCCAGAATGCCACAATCCACCCTAACTGACTTCATTCTTTAGAGAGCGAATATGGGTACTTGCCATATATGTATCCATTTTTTCCTCCAATTGAAATCACAAATTTCCATCATTAAAACCCAACTCGTAAAAGAATTTACAACGAAGAAATGATCATCAAAAAAGATTTTCGAGTCCCCTCAATTATCTATCAACATTGTGCAAGAAAGAGGGCATCTCTAAAATTCAAAATATTGACCATCCAGCCATGTTCCTTATTGTATCAGTCAGCTGCAGGCTTTTTGACAGAATTTACATACTATAGTTAGATTTCAAAACTCCCTTAATTAGAGGGTGAGTAAACGGTGCAAGAATGAGAGTTTACCTTCACTAGCTACATTTTTAAAACATTTTCTCCGACCATTAATCTTTCAATCTGCTGAATTCATTATAGCCTAAAATCAACAAAGGAAATGGCACTAAATGGCTCCGTAAACAGAGCCAAGACCTGATGCACGGAGAGAAGAAATTTACCTTGCAGCTATAACATCAATTCATCCCCTTTGTTTCCTGTGATAGAAACGTCTATTCAAGCCTCCACTACTTCTCTTATCCTCTTCATCACCTTCCCCCGATTTTCCCCTCTTCATAACCATGAAATACAAGGAAATCAGTCATTAGATAATCCAACCGGTACAACAGAGAGAAAAAAGAGGGGGATGGGTTTAATGAAGGTCACCAAGATTTGAGAGGGAGATTGCATCCTCATGAAAGCTTGACATGGAGCGTTGGTTTGGTAGAAACTGGAGATATGGAGACGGAGGCCGGAGAATGAAGAACGAGAGGCAGAGATGGAGACACAGACGCCAACAGCGGCAAGAGGCAGAGGCAGCAGCCCCAGCAACTCAGCGTGAGTGCGGCGAGTGGGAGATGGAGATTCGAGAGCGAAGAACGAGAGCCAGAGCAGTGAGCAGTGAGCAGTGAGCAGGGACGGTCGCGATGGAGGCCGGGGGATTTCCGATTACGTTTCGGTTTTAATTCAGGTTGATTATATGTATTCCTTGTCAAAATAAAACAAAATAAAATACTTTTAATTAATATTTTTTTAGTCCTTGAAATTTGATATTTGATGTTATTTTGATTTTGGTTCTAAAATTTAAATCATGATTTAAATCTTCGAAATTTAAACTCATTTTGAGGTTTTTTATCCCTAAAACATTGTTTTAATCTATGAAAGGCTTACCAAAAACATTTGTTTCAAATTTTAGGGACCAAAATTAAAATAAGATTAAATTTTGAAGACTGAAATTATTACTAACAAAAAATACTATATATATGTGCAACTGTATAGTTTTTTAATTTTATACAAAATTTTGATTTAGTTTCTTAATTTTAAAAAATGTATTTTTAGTCTTTTAATACTAAAATTGTTAGTCTTAAATGATGATTTTTTTTGTAGGAATTATGTTTGTTTTGAAAATTAAACATAATATATTTAGCATTTGAGAATACGTTATCAACATTCAAGATCTTGATATTATTATTTTTTGTTAACGATTATAGAGTCAAGGGATTGAAAATATATTTTTTAAAGTTAGAAAATCAAATTAAAATCTTATATAAAATTAAAAAACTATGAGTATATTTTAACCCATATTATTAATATACTTACCCGTGTTGCCCTTTTTTTTGGTAGGGTTGCACAATAGATAGATTGGATAAGAAACTAAAACCTAACTCAAAGTCTGGTATGCTTTTTGGACGAGTTGGCTTTCACAACCGTTAGTCTGGTCTAGTCTAGTCTAGTAGGAATCTAAAGTCAAGCTAAATTGTATGTAGTCCGCCAAAATCTTAATTTTCTTGTTTTTCCTCTATGAGAAGCGAGATTTCAAACTAATAAACACAATTAAGGTAATAAAAAATACCTTTAATCATATAAAAATCATCCCAAAACACTAAAATTTAATCATAAGTCCATAAGAATCTCCAACAATATTAAACAACATTCCAAATTACAAAATATTTTTTAAAAAAAATATTTGGATCTGACTAGGCCAACTTAGGTGGCCTAACTATTTGATCGAGAACCCAATCCAACACAACCAACTACTTTGGTCTGATTTGGTCTCATTTTATCACATGATTTATTTTAACTAAATTATAACAAATCACTGAGTTTTTACACATCCTTAGGTTAATCCAATGTAATAGATACAAGTGGTAGGTAGATTAGTTTAGATGTGAAATTATTGATTTTAGATAAAATTGATTAAAATTCATGATTTCAAGTAGAATAGATTTTTTGAAAAGTGGTAATGAAATTGAAAAATGACTCTAATCAAAATTACTTTTTGGCATGCAAATCATGGGAAGTTTGGATTAGTGAAAAAGTACTTTTCAAAAGCATTTTTCCATAAATTGAGATAAATTCCTTCACAAATTTACTCCATACACAGTAAAAACACTTTTAAAACTATAGTTTTGTTTCCACCCAAATACCTCCTATTAGAAGAAGGAAGTATTTTGGTCTTTTATGCCGTCTGACAGGCACTGTTACTTCAACTGTCAGAATTATAATCCATAAAATGATTTTGTCCACGTTTGGGAAGCTGTTAAACAATTAATTTGGACTGGTGAATGTTAGTTTGAGATCTCTTCTGGCCAAGTCATTTAGATGTGTTTAGATTAGCGGTGGAGAAGTAATTGTTTTTTCAATCTGACTTTTATAGAAGCCAAATTGGATAAAAGTCAGATAGTGTAATGTGATTTATATTTGGATTGGATTTTGTAAAAAAATTAGTTTGAAAAGCTGAAACTTATTTGGATGATTAATGAAAAAGTAAGTTTGGATATAAAATGACTGAAAAGGATATAAATTTTATTATATGCAACAAATAAATGTGGATAGTATGGTCATTTTCTATGCAAATGGCATTTCTTTTAAGGTAAGAGAGAGTGTATCCTATTTTCATAAAGCTTATTTTTTCTCACCCCACAGTGATGCATCCCACAAGCAACAAAATATGACTTCACCCAAAAGCTACTTATTTTCATGGAGTTCATTTTGTTCCATCGTGATTCCAAACAAAAATTATAACCAGAAGCTGGTTTTGCTGGGGAAAAGTGAGTTTGGGATCACGTTTGATCCCAAACACACTCTTAGTGTAATAGGCCTATGCTGAAATTAGGGGTGTTCATGGGCAGGGTTGGGCAGGGCATGCCCCCTGCCCGATGCCCAGCCCGAAAAATGAGCGGGCTGCATTTTGCGGCCCGCTGCCCTGCCCTGCCCATAGAAGCCCTAACTATTTTCGGGCTGGGCAATAACGGGCTGGGCAGGGCGGGCTTCCAAGCCCAAATAGTGATACCTTGGTGAAAATTTTTTTAGTTAAAGTAAAGGTATCTTATAACAATTATAAAGAAATAAATACTTGAATAAACAATAAATTCAACAAATCAATAACTTTGCTTTGTCTTAAATTGATATATCTTTTAATATAACACTAAAATGAGCTTGCTTTTGCATCTTTGTAAGACAACCAATAATAAAAACAAACTAAAAGATACTAAACCAAATTAAAAAAATTAAAAGATACTAAGAAGGAAGAATTACGCATACTACTAAATGTATTTATGGCAAATAAAAGAGGGGAGAATAATATATATTATTATATATTATATATTATTATAAGTATTTTTGGCAAAAAAAAAAGAATTATAAATATATATATCACGGGCAGGGCCAAATGGGCAGGGCAGCATACCATGCCCGCAGCCCTGCCCTGCCCATAATATGCCCAGCCCAAAATGCCCATTTTTCTTTGGGCTATTTTTTTTCCGGGCTGGGCAGGGCCATTTTCTTGCGGGCTCGGGCGGGCATACCGGGCTAGCGGGCTTGATGAACACCCCTAGCTGAAATGATATAACCTTCACCCTGTTTAACATTTGTCTTTCCAGCGCCACTACGCAAGTTCAAAAATTTTCACATATCTACTCTAGCATGCATGCCCATTGAATCAGAGCCACATATCCCTCCATTAAGTGATACATGCACCATCTTCTTAACATTTTACTCATTTACTCGAGCATGAAGCTGAGTGGCTGCATAATATACAGTGAGCTCGCTTTACATAGAGTATAAATCAGTAACCCGATGCTATCGGGGAGCTTTTATTAAGCTATAACACCTTTAGCAACAGATAATAGCTATCTAAGAGGATGGAGAGAGCAGGATCTCTCTTGGCTTAAATCGCAATCAAACCCAGGAGTAACTAGTCTTATTATAGGAAAATAGGCACCTAGTGTATTACACCAAGCAAATGATTGATGAACATAAAGACATGACACTGAATGTCCACCTCACAGGGCCTCATATATGATGTAATCATATGAGCCACATAATAATCTCTTAAGAATCAGCTCTCAAGAACGAACCATATATATGTAGCTGATCACCAGACTTACTAGACTTCGGCATCGTCAAAGTGGAGATGACGTGCCTTAGGCGCAATAGTTGTCCGCAAGTCAATACGAAAAGGCATTTGGTTTGATCATAAGCATTCTCCTCATACCATCTCGTGTAACCCCATAATAATACAAATGCTTAGCAAGAGGCTTCCGTTGTTCTCCACTGTTACATCCCATCGAATGTGGCTTAAGAGCCAGCAATCTGCCAGTCTTGAGCCCGACCTCCTTTTAAGTAATTAACCTGAAAATTACTAAGAAAACGTCATGATTTTGCCAGTTCCAAAAATCTTAAGTTAAATTCGAGAAAAGTTATCTCTGCCCTCATGTTTGGCCTGGTCCTATTTCTGAGGAAGAAAAGTACTGTAATTCAGAGCATGCAATGAAGGTGTGTTCTGCGATATACATCATCAGGCCTAATTTATAAAATGCTTTAGAATCTGATGAGAGGGACCAAGATAAAACAGTAGAACAACAATGTTGAGACTGTTATTGATCCCACAAAATACGGGGTTTCACTACAATATGTAACTGGTGCAACTCACACGGGGGAAAACACAGAACACTCAACTCATTAACACTAAAATGCAGAGAAAAAGATGAAGCAAGATGACCTTACTCCGCCCCAACCTGGCTTCTCCTAACTCACTCTGAATACAAAACCAGTCCCCCTTCCCTTGAGAAACCAACGGCTATTATAAGTCCATAAAGTGATCTCACAGCCCCCAGTACAACCCTTTCCTAGGTCAGGCCTATAACTCTAATGCTTAGTTTCATTCTCCAAAACAGAAGCAAATTTGCGGTCAATGCCCTGTTCAACAGAAAGTGATTTCCCTTTTCCATGTATATTGCTACTTTTACTTTTATAGGTCTGACGAACGAAGGCAGTTCTATCAGAATCTAATTAACTTTTGATTCGTTCTTCTAGAATAAGCTAACAAAAAGTTACGGTTCTAATTAACACTTGCTCTTTTATATCAATATTTTCTTTAATGATATGACTACAGGACTGTGTTAGATTTGATCATTATCGGGGGTGCTCAGACAAGTAAGATCCCTTTTCACTGGAATTAACACCTATTGGTGCTCTTCTCTAGATCAATACGTTGCAAGGTTTTATGGATTTTTTTTTTTTTTTATGTTCAAGAACTGCTGTGAAGGTTGGAGTGTTCTCTAAATGGTGTTATTTTCTTATTGTTTGGTTGCCAAAAGCTTCTATGAGTTTTTATTTTGTAGCGGGAACATGTTTTTCAATTTTTGTATCAGACGTTCAATGACGTATTTGTGGATATCTTTAAAAGCAATTAATTCAATTATTTCATATGTTAACCGATTTATATTTAAATATTATTAAACTCTGAATGCAAAATAGCACACGCTAATAGTTTTTTTTTAATCTATAAAAAGTTTGAATTAAATTTCAAGGAAGTTAATTTTTTGGGCTGTATTTAAGTTCATTTATATTTTAGTTTGCATCTTGAGTAACAATTTTTTTTTAAAATTAAATCCACTTTGGAAAATATATCAAAAGAAATGTTGCCGCCTGCAGGCTCACCTACCTTAACAGTGTTTTCTAGGAGACTACTTTTAATGCTTATCATAATAATACTCATCAAACCTTAACCATTCAAAATTAACATGAATGATCAAGATTTCATATTTAATATTTTTGTTTTTTCAAAGAATATTTTCTTTTAATAGGGACATACCTCAAAATAAAAGTGACCTCTTAACTATAATTTTTTTAAAAAAATAAATTTTTATTTAAAAATCATAGTTGAAAATCTTAAATCTGGACTATTAAAACTAGCTATATTTTAATGGTTTAGATTTTACTGTAATGATGAGCACGGAAACTAGTTTTGTTCTTTAGTTGATAATTATGTACCAGCATTCACGCCAGGGAAGTGTGGGCATATAATTATGAACTACGCTTAGGATCCCTTTTCCGCCAAAAAAAAAAAAGCTTAAAATAATATTTAAAAACATAAGTATGTGATATTAAACCGTGATAAAAAAAATATTTCTTAACTTTAACTCTCTAATTTTGCCAGAATTAAATTTAACATATAATATACTATTTAAATTGATGGGAATGTTTCAATTGGGGTCACATAAATAATTGGTAAGGGTTAAGTCAATTGAATAAGTTGCCGTGCGAGCAGAAGAGGAAGTCAATCATTGACTCTGAAGCTTACGGATTTGCACGTCTTCATGAACGTGGAAAGCTCTTCTAATTAATTTAAAACGAACGTGAGGGCTACCATGATGAGGAAGGTGAAGCATTGTGTGATTTGGTATGCTATATAAGAGCTGCTGAGCAATGCGCAATGCAGTAGTGGCGTCCATGATGAGGAAGATGAAGCACGTTTGTGCAGTGTGGACGCTCGTATTGATCATAAGTACGGTGCGTTTAAGTGCTTCAGACTTGGATTATGGCGCAGCACTCGACAAGAGCTTGATGTTCTTGGAGGCACAGAGGTCTGGAAAATTACCGTTGCAGCAGCAGCGAGTGAAGTGGCGCGGCGATTCTGCTCTCAAGGATGGCTTTCAGCAAGGAGTAATTAAGCTTTCATTCCAGTTTAATTAAAATCGTCGTCGTATTTCTGCCTCTAATTTTGCCAGTAATGAGTGGTGCAGGTAGACCTAGTGGGAGGATACTATGACGCCGGGGACAATGTGAAATTCGGGCTGCCAATGGCATTCAGCGCCACCATGCTGGCCTGGGCGGCCGTAGAGTTCAGGAAAGAGATCACAGACCTGAACCAAATGGCCGCCACGCTGGGGGCCATCAGCTGGGCCACCGACTACTTTCTCAAAGCTCATCCTCATCCCAATGTTCTTTGGGGACAGGTAGGGGATGGAGATTCCGATCATTACTGCTGGGAACGTCCCGAAGACATGAGCACATCAAGGACTGCCTACAGGATTGACGAACAACATCCCGGCTCTGATCTGGCCGCTGAAACTGCTGCCGCCTTCGCTGCTTCTGCTATTGCTTTCCACCCTTACAACTCTTCTTACTCTTCTCTCCTCCTCCTCCATGCAAAACGCTTGTTCACCTTCGCAGACACCTTCAGAGGTTCATATGATGATTCCATTACGGTTGCTCAGCACTTTTATGCTTCTTCCGGCTATTCAGTGAGTTCATTAGTTACCTCTTCATCACTTGTTTAGCATCATACATAACATGTTAACCTTGGCCGGTAATTGATTTGTTCAGGATGAATTGCTCTGGGCTGCCGCGTGGATCCACAGGGCAACAGGAGATGTCTACTATCTCAACTACGTAGTGGACAATGCTCAGTCCCTGGGAGGAACAGGATGGGCTGTCACCGAGTTCTCTTGGGACAACAAATATGCCGGTCTCCAGATCCTCCTCTCCCATGTAACTATAACTATGCTAATATCCCAATCTCTACAACCTTAGATTGCAGTGACTTTAAATGATGAATTCGCAGGTGGTTCTGGAAGGACAGGCTGGTCCTCATGCCTCCATTCTAAAGCAATACCAGGCCAAGGCAGATTACTTTGCTTGTGCTTGCTTGCAAAAGAATGATGGCTATAACGTCCGAAGAACTCCAGGTATTTGTTTGACAAATCACTTCATTTATTGTTTTAATGACCTTTTTACTGAAATGAAACTACTTGCATGTATGCTTGGCATTTATTAGGTGGCTTAATGTACGTTCGGGATTGGAACAATATGCAGTACGTATCCTCTGCTTCATTTCTGGTGGCTGTTTACTCCTCTTACCTGTCTTCTGCGAAAGCCGCCCTCCGCTGTCCCCAAGCCCAGATTCAGCCTTCAGACCTCCTCGCTTTTGTCAAGTCTCAAGCTGACTATATGCTCGGTAAAAACCCCAAGAGCATGAGCTACGTCATCGGATATGGAGCAAAATATCCGGTTCACGTGCATCACAGAGGATCCTCCATTCCTTCCATCTTCGTTCTTCATTCAGTGGTTGGGTGCGTGCAAGGCTTCGACGCTTGGTATCGCCGGAGCGAAGCCAATCCCAACGTCTTATATGGCGGCCTTGTGGGAGGACCTGATCAAAACGATGAGTTTTCAGACGATAGATCCAATTATGAACAAACTGAGCCCACTCTTTCTGCCTCTGCTCCTCTTGTGGGCATCTTTGCTAAGCTTCACAGTTTGTACGGTAATGCTAATGCAGGTTAGTTTTTAGTACATTAATTAATGATCTCCTTCTTTATACTCAACCGTAATGTCTTGATCAACAATCACTTTTTATGCGTCTTCATCGCAGGTTCCCACCGTAACGGATCGCCACTGCACCAAAAGATAACAACACCAAGTGAGTATCGAAGCAAACTAGGATAGTGCCTTGCATTTTAGTGGATCTTTGTGCTGCTTTCCATTTAACCGTTGTAATAATTTTCTATCCATTGGCTTCCCAGGCACGCACCCAGGAAAACTAACATCACCCACACCACCTTCAGGTGATTATTGCAGCCATATCTCTTTTAATTTGGGCATTCTTGGTTTAATTATTGAGTCAGTTATGTCAACTTTAATCTATTCTAAAAAATGCTTAGATTCCTTTGAGTTAAAATGCCCACCTCCATATACATAGCCAATATACAATTTTTTCCCCAATCCGGTTGAAATAATATGACACAAAAGTAAAAAGTAATATAAAAAGAGAAGAGAGGCAAAGCTCGTATGCATTTACAATTTCTCGACACTTTCAATATTTATGATTGCAAGATTTTTTTTGTCAACGAAATAAATTGAATGTCCTTTAAATTAATTAATTACATCTTAAGTGCCGGCCAAAAAAAGGTCGAGTTTACACTTTATGGATACAATCATGGGGTTACATCCTATTTTAAATCTGACAATATTCGAATTTTAAGATTAGCTAGACAGTTTGTCATTTAGAAAAATGGTAGGACAACTGTTTTTCTATTTCAAAATAAACATGTGAATATATAAAATGAAAAAGTATATGATTTTAACGATGCTTGAATAAATTTGTGCTCCTCCAATGTTTAATGTAAAACATAATTGTTGAGTTGATTTAGTCCTAAATATATTATCTATTTCTCATAATTATCAATTCTTACTAAATTAACCCTATTACTACTCTCTCAACCATAATCAAAGAAGTGTTTATGGTGAATATTCAGAAAGATGATTATGGTGTTTTAAAAAAAACATGTCATATTTTTTATAATTAACCAATCTATCTAATTTTTTTAATTTAATGAAATTAGTTAAATAGTTCTTATATTATTAATAAGGAGAAGCATAATTTACTCCGATTAACAACATGCAAAAATGAACTGATGCAGGTGGGCAAATTGAACTGCTTCACTCAATTACTTACTCATGGAATGAGGGGGAAAAAACGTATTACCGTCACCAAGTAACAATTAAGAACGCTTCCAAGAAGCCAATCTCCAATGTAAAGTTTGAGATTGAAAATCTATCAGGCCCTCTGTGGGGTCTTTCTCCGACACAGGACAAGAATGTGTATGAACTTCCGCAGTGGCTTCAGGTCCTGAATCCTGGCTCTCAATGTATAGCAGTTTATATCCAAGGTGGGCCCCAGGCTAGATTCTCTGTTTTAAGCTTCCACTAATCATTTTGGGAGTGCCTTGGAAGTTCAAAGGATATTTAATATTGCAAGAGATCTTGAGTCCTTTTGGAGTTTTTCTATTGTTGCCATTTAGGAGAAACAAAGTAAACAACTTCAATTCTCTGTGATTGCCCTTTTAAAAAAATTATACAGATAAAATTAGAATATTCCATCTTTTGCCATCTTTTCAGTGCATCGCTTGCTCCGGGGCTGAATTTGATTTGCTCGAAACTTTAATGATAGAATGATAAGTGGGAAAAGGTGGATCTCTCGGATCATTTTTTTTTAATTTTTTGTTATTTTGCTCCATAACTGAGACAATCATGTCAGTGTTTAGATCAAGGCCAGAGCCGAACCACACTCGTCAACTGCAGCCACAAAGGGGGGGGGGGGGAATGTAAATTTAGACACTGCAGGAGAGAATGGTCCTGTCCGTGCCCTTCTATTGGGCAAGCTGTGAGGCTTTGTTCTGTTACCTTTGGAGAATAACTTTGACATAAAATAAGATACCATGTTATTTCATTACAAAATAAAATTCACAAACGAGATTCAACACAAGAAAAAGAATTTAAGACTTTTGAGCCCACATGTTGACAGCATTGAATATTTCTTCTTATTTGTAGATTCCATAAATGTTAGTTTTCGGCATAATTAATCATAGAAATTCTAAAATAAAGAAAATGAAGCGTAATTAGTGTGTGGGCATAAGTCTTCCCCTGTTTTTTGTTTTGTTTTGACCAATGGACATATACGCTTTTCAAATAATTACTTTTAGATCATTATTTATTATCAAGTTCTTTAAAAAGCGATACTCGTGAAAATTCCACACCCAACCCTCGAGGAAAAAGAGTATTTCTTTGGAATTTATGGTATTTTCTTGAATACTCCTCTGATTTTTAATGTAAAATTTATTTAATTAATTTGATTAGATTAAAGAAGTTAGGTAAGTTAGTTAATTATAAGAAATATGGTTGAGAGAGATCAACAAGGGTAATTTAGAAAAAATTAATAAATATAATAAATAGATCTCATATTTAGGATCCAGATCAACTCAATAATTAGGTTATATATTAAGGATTGAAGGATTTTTTTGACATGACAAAAACTAATACTACCTCTAGTTCTTAATATACAAGTTAGTTTGACTTTTAACTTAGTCTTGAGTATAAAATCCCAATTTATTTTATTTCTCATATTTATCTAATTTTTTAAAAATAGTTCTCCAAGTAGTTGTACGTATAAAGATTCTATCAAATATTAGTTCTACACTTCTAGCTAATACACATTATTGGCAGGGTTATTTTAAAAAATACAACATCTATTTATTATGAATAATTAACTTAACAAATTTTCTTAATTTATTTAAATTAGTTAATTAGCTCTAATGAATGTTAATGGCAATAGATAGCATGCTATATAAGTTCCACTCCAGCTGACTACACAATTGACACCCAAAATGTCATTGATGGAAGCAAATAAATATAGGACTGGTTAAAGAAAGAATGACTTTTCGTGAGTATGATCCCTTTCTCGGCCTTTTGATCAATTAGCCTTTTGATTTTTTATTTTTTGATACAACAAGTAGCCTTTTTATTAAGACCAAACTAATATGACAACGCCAAAAAATGCGTGAGTCATAAATATTTTTAGGTAAAATGTCTGATTGAATTTCTAGAAAATAGTTATCCACATACTGCATGATTTAATTTTGAAAAAATCTCAAAAAAAATAACTGTTGAATTTTAAATTTTAAATAAAAAATTACTATAAAAATATGTTGTTATTTGTTTTTCAAGTGTAATTATTTTTAAAATATTTTAAAATTTTCAAATTCAACAGTCATTTTTAATTTTTTTTAATTTTTAAGAAGAATTAAAATTATAGCAACTTGTCCTTTGCACATACTTTCACCATCGTAAATAGGGTTGATCGATCTTCTTAACACCCACACGGAATAAACGGGACTGTGCAATTATGCATTTTATACCCCAAGCCTCATTATTTCTGGTTTAAAAAGAATTTGCCTTAATTAAAATAAAATTTGATAAGAGGGTGAATTTCATTTAAATCCAGCTAAAATACCAAAATTTAAAATCATGCCTATACTTTAAACAAATTCCTCGTAAGGACCAGAGGCTTAATTAAGAATTTATAAATGTCATTAAAAGTCTAAAATGTCCCTCTATAATTAAAATATGACTCATTACCTTTGTATTATTTTTGAATGATTTTTTTCTTTTTATGTTGTCTTTATATTTTTCTCTCTTATTAGTTCTTTTTTTGCCTCACGATTTTTTTACTGAAATATAAAATAGTAAATTTTTAGTAAATGTTAAAAAATTACAACACAACCGTTGATCCAGATCAATATTTACTCTGGTACTCTAATCAATCCAATAGTGTAGGTCATTATTAGATTTTAATTTTTGATGAGTTTAATTTTCGTTCAGTTTTAATGTTGATCCATTTTCTATATATTTAATAATATATACATACATATATATTAGGAAACCAGGCAAAATAGCAGCGACGGAGGATCATAATATATTCATGTGATCTTAAATATAAAATTAGGGCTGAACATGGACCAAACCGGACCGGGCAGGGCATTAGCCCCTGGTTTGGTCCATTTTGGTCTTCAGGCTAGTCACCCCAACTCAAAGACTGGTCCTCCCTAGTGAGGAACCCGTTGTTCCTCGGGTTGGGTGGACTGGACCAGACTGGACTGAGTTACTGGTCCAGTAGGTCCAGTCCAGTCCAGTCTAAGTCCATATCCCTTGTCCTGTTTTTTTTAAAATTCCAAATCAATAATTTCCAATCTATTACACAAAAAATTCCTATCTACTTGTCCTAAACAGAGTAACATCATGAGAATACCAAATTCCAAATAAAAATTACTTTAAAACAATCTACAAATTAAAATTAAGTATAAATTGTAAACAATACAATACAAAAAATAAAACTGTAAAGCAACCATTAAAGTCCATAATATAATATCAAACAAGTCCATTACACTAAGCCTTGAAAGTTTGCAGCTTGCTGGTTTGTGCGTCCTACACTTTTAAGCAAAATGCAAGTTCAAATAGGCAGAATTGCGGCGCAAAAGGAAAGTCCATTACACTAAAGCAAATATCAAATGAGAATATAATCAGTCTCAAAGTTTGCTTATTTAAAGGCCACAGGCTAATCAAATGTCATAGCTAATAATAAAACCAAAATGCATGCCAATATCAAATATTATAGGCCCATCACACAACAGCACATATCAAAACATGGAATGATAATCAGTGACATAGCACATGGCAGCAAACTATGAACTCAATCCTTGCTTTACTCTATTTCCATGGACACAGCAGCATCTCTACCATCAGTGACACATGAAGCATCTAGGAAAAAAAGATACAAAACAAGAACATTACTCCCTCCATTCCTTATTATAAAAGACGAATAACCGAATTACGTTGATAAAAAAAAACAGTTAAAATTAGTTAAGAACAATCAATGTATAAAAAAATAATTTTTTTTCCAAAAATGCCCTCATTAATAAGGAGAGAGAGCACGAGAGAGAACAATTAAATTATTGAAAGAAAGAGAAGTGGGAGGGAGAGAGAGTGTGAGTTGGAGACAATAAATACGGGTAAAATAGGAAATCAACACAAAAAAGTAGAGACAACTTTTAAGTGTCTCTTACATATAGGAACATGCCATAAGCATTAAATGTCTCCTATGTTATGTTTAAAACATTACTAGACTCTTCAAAATTATCAAATTCATGAAGCTTGTCAACAAGTTTTGATAGTGATTGACCAGGAAGAAGCCAATTTTGTGAATAAATTAATACTTTAGTCATTCTAGGTGATAATGAGCTTCAATATTGATCAACCACACGACCTCCTATGCTAAAAGCAGATTCAGAGGCAACTGTTGAGACTGGGATGGCCAACACATCACGTTCCATGCAAGAGAGGATCTTATACTTAACAAAATTTACCTTCCACCAAGCTAGTATATTGAAATTAGCAGGGATATCATTAGAATCAGTAGTAAGATACTTATCCAACTCAATTTGAGAATCATTTGAATTTCTTTGCTTGATTGTTACCAACCATTGGAGGCCTGGATCATGATCATCCACATTCGCTATAGCACTTACTGAAGATAAAGGCATAGCAGGAGATGAAACAGTGTTGGATTCATAAGATATCCCAACAAAAGCCAGAATATTCTTCAAACATACGATATGAGCAATCCTTGATCCTATCCTTCATAGCCAAGCAAACTTCATTGTCACGGAACAAATTCTCAAATATGTGATTAACATATGCCAGCTTGTAACGAGGGTCTAGTATAACTGCCATAATCAACAAAGGATTCATGATTTCGGCTTTGCCCTAATACTTTTCATATTTCATATTCATGTTGAAAGACATATCAGATAAGAGGGAATCTGAATTCATTATATTTCTTTCCAACATCTATTGAACACAAGCAATTTGATGGGAGTATGAATTGATATCACACTAAGGGAAGCTGAGAACATTAATGTGATATCGTAAAAAGCCTTCAAGAATTTTAAGAAGACCCGTGCACGATTCCAATCTTATACCACTGGGGGCCCATCATGTTTTTTCTCTTCATCTTCACGCGTGGCATCACGAGCTCGCTTCAAAAAATCACGTGATTCAAGCCTATTGCTAGATACCTCATGTGAATCAACCAAATTGAAATCATGTGCTTTTGATTCATGCCTTGGAGGGGGGCTGGGGGGCTAAAGTGTACACAGTAGTCATCATCCTCATCATTCATTCTTTCAAATACTTTTTGAAACTTCAATGCTGCCTCCAACATCAAGAAGGTTGAATTCCACCTGGTTGACACATCCAAACAAACAAGGCCTTTTGTGTCAATTTTTTCAGCCTCATCAAAAGACTTAAACTTTGCAAAATGTGCAGGAGATGAGCACACATATCTAACATCACTTCTAATGCTTTCAAAGTTCTCTTTCAAATCCTTTAAGCCTTCATAAACAATCAAGTTAAGAATATGAGCACAACACCTAATATGTAGGTAATCTCCACCACAAACCAATCCCTTCCAATTCCTTAATCGCTTCTTCAAGTATGACAATGCTGAGGCATTTGAAGATGCATTATCCATAGTAATTGTGAAAACCTCATCAATTCCCCAATCCAGCAAACACTTCTCAATTGTCTTCCCTATGGTTTCTCCTTTGTGATTCTCAACCATACCTAAATTGAGAATCCTCTTGTGCATATGCCAATTAAGATCAATAAAATGAGCTGTCAAGCAGAGGTAATTGAAATTCTGATTTGAAGTCCAACAATCAGTTGTGAGACAAACACAAGGTGCACAACTCTTTAAATCTTCTTTAAAGTCTTAACCTCACCAAGGAACAACTACCAACAATCCCTACCAACAGTCATTCTAGATGGGATAAGAAATCGAGGCTCTATTGCCTTTACAAATTTTTTGAATCTTGGCTTCTCAACTATTCTGAAGGGTAGCTCATCACAAATAATAAACTCAGCTAAGGCTCTTCATATTCGTTTCTCATTGTACATATGAGGCACTAAGGCATTTCCTTGAGAAGTATTTGAAAGGTAACCTAACATTGATTGCTTCTTATCTTTATTGGCCTTCTGTGGGTTCTTTGTACATTTAAACAAATGCCTTTTCAATGAAGTTGTACGTGCTTATTAGGGTCACAGGCATAAGTCATGCTGCAGTACTTGCAAAATGTTCTAATCTCTCCATTAGTTTCTTCCAATGGTAGCTTCACAAAATGGTCCCAAACATGAGATGTTTTTGGAGGCTTTCTTTCTGGTTCTTTTCTCTCCCTAGGATTCTCACCCTCAATTACTCCTGCTTCTTGTGTTAATTGGGCAGTGGGTGCAGCAGTAGTAGTAGGGGCAACAGGAGGAGGTGATGGTGTTGGTGTGGGAGAAATATGATTTTGAGAAGGAATTAATGAAGGTCCAGAGCCACTTGTGTTAGGTTATCACCTAATTGGGGAATCACTGAGCCCTTTGACTTAACATGGAATCTTACTTCTCCATTTCAAAGTGATAAACGGATAATATATCTATAATAAATTGAACAAGAAATAAGAATACAATGAGAATAGTGAAGTAGACAAATTATTTCAACTTTAGGAACAATAATTAACTATGGCAAGCCTATCATAATTGTTCACAATAATCAGATAAAAAAAGACATATAAATCGGACAAGTTAATTCGGCAATTAAGTAGACAAATTTTGGCAGTTTTCTGCTGTAATGGTGTTGATAAAATGAACTAGTTCTACATTCATCACATACGTATTTACTACTGCAATTAATTGGAATTTGCAGTTGTAGTATGGAATAAAATTGACACTGTCCTTGTTTTTCCTCTGAATATGGCGTGCTATCTTGGAGTAATTTGCGCTGTCATTGCCTCAGTTACGTATATTAAGATCCTTTCACTATTGTCAATTTATTAAAGATATAGTATTTGAATCTAGACATAGTATTTGACCGAGGATCACATGTTTGCTTTGTTGGTAAATAAAAAAGAAAAGACACACATAGTATTTGACCGAGGATCACAGTATCACACGGAGCTGGATAGGGAGAATGAAATATTAATAATAACACTCAAAAAAGGCTTGAACTTGCCTAATAGTGACGAAGCTGGAGAGCAGCGGCGAGCCGGTGACTGGCCAGCAAATAGTGAGCTGCAAATTGAAGGACTAGGAGGCAAGCTTGGTTGCTAGCTGCTAGGGAATGGGGTTGCTGGCACTGCGCAAATCACAAAAGGGGATGGGGGAGAAGCAGATTTGAGCTCTAAGGTCGCCACTTGCCACTTCACCGTTTTCGCTAATCACTGAGAACCCGCCACCGCTAGGTTTGGAGGGAGAGGGAATTTGGAAATAAACTCATAAAGGATGCCTGATGAAGTGATTAGTGATGGTTTGATCTCTAATGGACATTTAGTGAAATCAGAATTGGATCTAAAAAAAAAAAAGACTTCAACATGGGGCTAAATCAGAAATGGACTTGGTAGGAAAAAAACGAAAAGAAACTATAACGTGGGCCTATGCAGTTTTCTTTTATCTCACAAAAAATCACTGGGTAGGACTAGGTTATCAATTCAACATGGCTACCCGTAACCCGGTCTTTAGGTCAGACTTGGTTTGGCCTGAATTTTACTAGGCTTTTTAGATTGTTTCAAAAATTGGACCGGGTTTATCGGGTTACTGGGTTTCATGTGCAGCCCCATATAAAATCCCTTTTATAATGTAAATTACATTATAAAAATAGTCTTATATTTAAGACCAGAGGAGTATAATTGTTTTGTTCTGAAATAGTCAAAGGAAAAGGCATGCGATGGTCATAAATAAATAAGAAAAGATGGAAAAAGACATTGCGTCAAGGACTAAAGAGACAGATATAGGGGGTGTTTGGATAAAAACTAGACCATGATTTTAAAAGTATTTTTACAATATATGAAGTAAATAAACGGAGTAGATTGTCTCATTTTACTGAGAAGCACTTTTAGATGCTTCCAAACACCCTCATAGACCATTTGACCGGTTACTCAGATCAAAACCTTTTATAGATTGGTCAGAGTGCAAAAGTAATTATTAATGTGAATTGAGGAAATTGTAATTTCATGTCATCTACGATGGACTTTCTATTTTCATATTTTAGAGAAAGGATTTGTAATATAGAAGTAACAACCCAAGAAAGGCTTTTAATAAAATTTATAAATCCCTAATGAGGTCTCTTAGTCTAATTAGGAATTTATACACAGTAAAGGCTTGATTTTAAATTTTAATATTTCAACTGAATTTAATTGAGAGTCTCTCTAGATAATAATGCTAAAAACATTTTTTTTAGATAATATAAAATACTCCTCCGGTCCTTATTATAAGACCCAATTTGACTTTTTATTTGGTTCTAATTATAAGACCCAATCCATTTTCTCTCTTATATTTATGCATTTTTTTCTAAGATAATCCTTCTAATAATGATAGTTTTAGCCAAAATACTTAATTAGCAAGGATATTTTAGGAATAACAACACTTATTTATTATAAATAACCAACTTAACTTACTTCCTTAATCTCCTCACATAAGTCAATTGGGTTTTATAATTAGGACAGGAGGAGTAATAGATAGTAAAAAAATCTGATTTAATTTTCACACAGAAATATGTGGCTACCTAAATACAAATGCATAGAAACGCGCACAAATATAATTCTCTGTTTTTTTTATCGTGACCATATACAATTCTCACTTAAAAAAAAAGAAGGTCGGGGCCCACTTGAATGGCCGCTGAAACGCACAGCATGGGCGCGCTGCTGGTACCGACTGCTGGGTGCCAAAAACCCTAAGTCCCTAACCCCTAACAAAGCAGCCGCTGACGCGTGACTATAAAAGCATACCCACTGATAACCCAGGTTCAAGCCCTCGCTTGGCAAAACCCTAGAACTCACTAAACGTTGGGTTTTTCCAAGCTTTTCTATCCCCGCCAGTTTGTGAGACTCCACTGGTTTATTCTTTTGCATCTCTAAGATGGGCAAATCCAGCAAGAAATCAGCTCCCAAAGTATGTTTGTGGCGCATAGTTTTGCACCCTTTCGCATTGAATATTTCTTTTACGTATGTGTAAGATACTAGTTTCTTTATCTTTCAGGTTGATCCTGCTCCGGCTGTTGTTCCGCCTCCGAAGTCTGCAAAGAAAGGTACGAGCTTATGGTTTGATCTGTTGTCCTGTTCTGACTTTTGTTTACCGGGTTATATTGTGTATTTATACGTAAGATTTTATGCTGGTCGCCGGGTCCTCGTGACTTGGGCTCCCCCCTCCCAAGAAAGATCCTTTTCTGTTTTGTTTGCTACCTTTTCCATTGGGCATACAAAGTTTCTTCTGCCTTTACTCCTATGGTCGTTGTGGATTTTACCGGTATTAATGTACGTCATGCAGAGAGGTGTACTGGTGTAGAATTTTAGTTAACGATCGCTTTGGTTATTTTAAATTAAATGTGACTTCTCCTGATAGATAATTTATGCTTTCTGTGTAATCAATTTTGGTTCGGTTTATTTCATCACTATTAAGGCAAGAGGGAAGCTGAGGATGAACTTGAGAAGCTAGTGAGTGCAAAGAAGCAGAAGAGAGATGAAGTTCCTGTGAAGAAGATTGCCAAGGTGCAGAAGAACAAGAAGGAAAGTAGTTCAGATGATTCCTCTTCATCAGCTTCTGAGGAAGACAAGGTGTCTGCTTTGATTATTTTATTTTATTTTTAGTATTTTTGGTTTTGTGCCTCTCTGGTTTTAAATTATATTTCTCTTGGGTTCAGAAAACTGCCAAAAAAGCTGTTCTTCCATCAAAGACAAAACCTTCTAAAAATGGTGCTCTGAGTGGCCGGGTGAACAAAGGCAAGCCAGCTTCTGAATCCTCTGATGATGACTCCGACAGTGATGATGTGAGTAAAAATTACTGGGGAAGATTCAACTAGTGAATCATCCTTCTTTGTTGGTGGTTGATATTACGCTAGCGAGAATTTCTTGAATGCTTTTCAACTTATAGAATGTTTTGGGCATTGTTTTAGGCTGGAAAATCCAAGGTAGCCCCTGCTGCTGGTAAGAATGGGGCTCTTTTGACGAAGAAGAAGGCCGAGTCAAGTGCCAGCTCAGATACTGATAGCAGTTCAGATGAAGACAATGTAAATTTATTTTTTCGTCTTTTGATCCTTCTGATGTGCGTCAGATGCCTTGTTTGAGTAATATCTGGACAATGAATTTTAGGATGTGAGAACTAAAGTTGCCCCTCTATCCAAGAAGGCACCTGTTGCTGCAGCTAAGAAAGATGAATCAGACACGGAATCTGACAGCAGCTCTGATGAGGATGATGTAAACGCTGAATTACTGACTTCCCTACAATACCATACTACTCTGAGTGCAGTTCTCTAATGTGTTAGTTTGCTATTAAAATCTCAGGTCCCCACTAAATCATCCAAGAAGTTGCCTGCTGCAGGTAAAAGTATACCTGCTAAAAAAATTGAGTCAAGTGACGATACATCCTCTGATAGTAGCTCAGATGAAGATGATGTAAGCCTTATTTTGGAATTTTTTTTATGGTCTTAGTTATTTTGATTTCCTCGTAATGAAATATTGGTATTGTCTGTAGGAGCCACCTGCTGCATCTAAGAAGTTGCCTGCAACAGCAGTTCCTTCCAAGAAGAAGGCTGAGAGCAGTGAAAGCTCCGAAGATGAATCAAGTGAAAGCTCTGATGATGATAATGTAACATTTGGGTTCACGGCTGTTACCTTTTTTCTTGTTTATTTTTTGATGTGGTTTTGGACTGACCACATATGAAATGCTTAATTGAAGGTAAAGAAGCCTTCTGTCAAAGCTGTTTCCAAGCCTTCCACTGCTCCAAAGGTTGAATCTAGTAAGAGCTCAGATTCTGATAGCAGTAGCTCTGAGGAAGACAACAAAAATGTAAATCTATCATCTTTTATATTTATATCAAATTACTTCATGTTTTGCACCTGACTTTGGTGATAGCATCTATAATTTGCTTGAACAACTAGTTCTGCCACCTGATTGTAAAGTGATTCTTTCTTTGGTGTATTAGAAAAAGGGAGCCAATCATGCTTCCAATATCAAGCCAGCAAAGGCTTCTGAGAAGATTTCCAAGTTAAAGGAGAGTTCTGATGACACTGATTCTGATGATGAGGAGGCAAGTAGTTCATCATTTCTATATTCTCTGTGGCATCCTTAATCTGCAAAGTGTTTCCTATTTAATGTTATTCGTGCATCTACAGGAATCTTCTGACGGTGATTCTGAGGATGAGAAGGTTGGCCTAAACTTTTGCTGGAAAACCGTTAAGTTATAGTTGACATGTCACTCTTTGTGCTTTTTATTTCTTAGGGAAGCTTGAATAAACTATCTCAATCTGTGATCCATGTTTATGATGTAGAAAACCGCTCCCAAGGCTAATGCTAAAGCAGCTGCTGCTGTGAAGACAGCCAAAGAGGAGTCTAGTGAAAGTTCATCTGAAAACGACTCTTCAGAAGATGAGGTATCGAAGAGCATATACAAATTTGGAGCTTTTACCTTCCACCCAAATTTTTTGAATGTGCTTGAACACCGTGCTAGAATTGCTTTCCCTGAGGGAAATTGCTGTTGCAAGTCTCCACATTCGTCAATTTCAAATAGAATTTCCTGAGGGAAATTGCTGTTGCAAGTCTCCACATTTGTCAATTTTCAATAGAATTAGTTAATAATTAATTGGTACATTATCTTTTTGCAGAAAACTGCTCCCAAGTCTAATATTAAAGCATCTGCTGGTGCAAAGACAGTTAAAAAGGAGTCTAGTGAAGGTTCATCTGAAGATGACTCTTCGGAAGATGAGGTATAGTACAGCGTGCATAAATGTGGATTTTGTCTTGAAAGGCTGGGATTTTGAATACATGTGATGCTGTGTTTTATAGCTGTTTTCTAATGTAACTTGCTACCTATAAGGTTGCATATTTTGGAATCAATATTAGCACTGGCTGATTCATTACATTGAGGGTTAACTAGTTAACAAACTGTGAAACATGTTTACTCCAGGATAAGATGGATGTTGACGAGGATAGTAGTTCTGAAGAAAGTGAGGAGGAGCCGCAACAGAAAAAGGTAAGGGCTTTGTTTTGTAGATCTTTTGCTTTAGAAACACCCCAAAACGTTGGTTATTTGTTTTTTGACACCTCTCTAAAAATTCTGAATTGGTATGTTTCCTGGAAGCTCTAAATTGTTAAAAGGGTCGGTTCTAAAGTTATAACTCCTTTGAGTATTTGCCTACCGATTGTAAAACAGGCTAAGGATGTGGAGATGGTTGATACTGCATCAGCGAAGTCAAGTGGAAAGAAAGCTGTATGCTTTATGTCGTCCTTTCATTTACTTTTCTGCAACATGAATGTTAGTTTTATCAGTTATATGATATGTTTCATACAATATTGCAGCCCAGCACCCCAGTTACTCCCAAAGTGCAGAATACCACGTCAAAGACTCTTTTTGTTGGAAATTTGTCATATAATGTAGAACGGACTGATGTGTATGTAATTTTACCTTTGCACTGCTGGACTGGCATTTTCTGTATCTGCTGTCTGATTTCACAATTTAAAATTGTTCAGGGAAAACTTCTTTAAAGATTGTGGAGAAGTGGTAGATGTCCGTTTGGCTTCAGATGAAACTGGGAGATTTAAAGGCTTTGGGCATGTTGAATTTGCCACAGCTGAAGCAGCACAAAATGTAAGCATTTACTGTCCGACTGACAAATTACTTCAGATCTTGTGATTATAGCTTTGAATTGTGACATTTATGTGCTTGTTTATTAGTTATCACTGACGAGCAATTTGCACTGAACCCAGACTCTGCGTGTTGGGCATTTGCTGTATATTATTCGCTCAGTCTATTAGAAATGCTCTTATTTAGAAATTGATGTTTGATGGTTGTGTAAACTGATCTTGTTTTTATTATTTAGTCTGTACTCTAAATTCATATTCCTGCATGTGCTCTTATTTCTTTGGGAATTTTTTTAATAAAGGCTATTTGGTTTTTTATGACATGTTGGACTGGATAATCCATTTCTGTGATCATAGGCCCTTGAGCTGAATGGTGAAGAATTGCTTCAGCGTCCTGTCAAACTTGATTTAGCTCGTGAAAGGGGAGCATATACCCCCAATAGCAGGTATTTAAATGATATTTATGTTGGTTCTTTTCCCCTTAAGTTTCTTTCCTTGCCTATTAATCATTGTTTCATTCTTGTTTGTAAATGTAGCAACTGGAGCAATTCATTCCAGAAAGGAGGACATGCTCAAGCTCATACAGTATTCATTAAGGGTTTTGATACATCCCAAGGAGAAGATGAGGTGCATATGTTTAATTAATTATTTATTCTGCATGCTGACTTGTGCTTCAGTTCCCACACCCGAAATTGCTTGCATTCCATTTATTTGCATAATTAAATGGCATATGTTTTTTATTAGTTGTTGATTCCTTCAACTATGTACATTCAGATTAAGACTAACCTGAGAGAGCATTTCAACTGTGGAGAGATTACAAGGATATCAGTTCCTAAAGATTACGAGACTGGTGCTGCCAAGGGGTAATTACGCTTTGTCATTTACGATTACTGTTTTCCAAATTGTCAATGCACTTCTCTAGTATATTCAAGGTTCAAATTTACCATACAAGTATTCAAGCATTTGCTTGTTTTAAAGCCCGCCTAAAAGTTATGTTGCGTTAGGTGACTGAAAAGTTGAAAGGTTTCGTGACTGTGGAGGAACAAAGTGACTAACTATAGAAAACTTTTCTAGCTTGTTTCTTTTCTTTTTTTTTTGTTTTTTTTTTCTGTGCTTAAGAACTTAGGTCTCTTTTTTGTCACTTATAGCTTGGCGATGCCTTGGAATGGACGTAATGGATCATTTAATAATGGAAATGTTAGTGTAAGACCAAAGTCCAAAGGTGATCAATAGCGTTGACTATTGGTGCTGGAAAATCATGTTTATGCTTTTAGTTTTGTAGTGTTCAAAGGCTGTAATTTTAGTCATGTTAAATAGCTCGACTATTCTCTCAAATGAATTGTCGTGGAGTCTCCCTTTATCACGCCTGTGGGTCAGAAATTTGTCTTCTGATGTTTGTATTTCCTTGAAGGAGACAAATGCACTTCCGCAGTGATTTTATGCCAAAATACATTGTCTTGCGTGCTTAATTTGTATTTTCTGTTTTTGTATATGTTCTTGTTTTGAAGGCAACAGTGTTTATATCCTCTCATTACAACTCTCCGTGTCATTTTCTTCTAATATTGGCATTTTATAGTTGCTTACTTTGATGATTGGTGAATACTAGATTTTAATTAAAACAAGTTGTACTTAATGCATGCCAAATCTTTTTGCTGAGTCTTTAAATTTTTTGGATTGCAGGTATGCCTACATGGATTTCAAGGATGTTAATGCCTTCAACAAAGCGCTAGAATTGAGTGGTAGTGAGCTTGGAGGTGGTTATTATTTGACAGTTGATGAGGCAAGACCTCGAGCTGATAATCAAGGTGCAAGTGGCGGTAGGGGTGGTGGAAGGAGTGGAGGCAGAGGTGGCGGCAGAGGTGGCGGCGGTCAATTTGGTGGCGGTCGTGGAAGAGGTGGTCGTGGAAGAGGAGGTGGTGGCAGGGGCCGTGGCACTCCCAACAAACCAAGTCTTGCTGCTCCAGGCACAGGTAAGATTCATGTTATCAATTGTTTGATCAAATTACCCTCAATCTCTTCCCTATTGGTTTATGCATTATCATGGTTTCATGGTACTCTTGATATGTCATATGTTGCCTTGGTTTATTTCTATAACTGCTAATCCTCATGCAACTTTGGCTGATCCATGAATTATTATCTTGACCAGCACTAATTAGTTGGGTTAGGTTAAATGTGAAATATGATATTCACTTCTATTTTCTGCTAAATCAGGGACGAAGACCACATTCGGGGATGATGATTAAGGGGAAGAGATGCTGAGAATTTTCTGTTGAATATTTATAATATTCCTTGCTTCAGTTTTGGTAATTGGTTGTACTTTTAGATTGACTATCGTATTTATTAAGCCCCCGAGCTCTGCAGTTTTGTTCAAGAGAGAAAGATAATCTATTGTTTTCAAGCATATAATATAAGTATATAGTATTATTCAGGGGATTAGGGTTACTGTGTATGTTTATTCTCGTACCTCCACCCCCCTAGAAAACTGGAAATCTTGCCGAGTAAACATTATTCACTTAGATGTAATAATGATAACAAATTAAATTAGCACCCCTCTTAGAGATTGCTATAAACGATGTTTTACTGATGAAAGCAACTTCTATTCAGGTGCTGAAAGAGGTTGAAACTTAAAATGTCTGCAAGGTTTGGCAATTTACCTTGCATATAATGTGTATTTTATTCCCAAAAAAACACTTGTTGGTTGTGATATTCCTGTATTCCTTGCAATGTAGAAAACTATTAATTTATTTCATGGTTATGTCATATCATCACTGTTAAGTCTGTTAATATGGCAAGCAATACAATCCTTGCGGACCTTCCAGAAATGCCTTGTGTTTTTTTAAAGCAAAAAGGGTAGTCCATTTTATTGATTATAAAAGAAAGTATTGCACTCACTAATGGCCTTTAAAAATAAAGAGAGCCTTACCATACAACCTTGGAAAATAAGGGACAGGGTAACTAAGTACAACCCAGAGAAATGAAATTGGGGTTCTTTTATTTTTTTTTTAGGGGGGGGGGATAAAACCAAGGCTAGACAAAAGCTGACTTAGCCTTGTCCCATTCTTAACTCCAGAGAGGATGGTGGCTTGTTGAGCTGTCCTTGCGGTACCATATCCCTCATCACCATAGTTGCAATATGGTCTGCAGTATTATTGTCCGTATGAGAGATTAGGGACAGCACCCAGTTCTTAACAGAATCCCGAAGTTCCAAGCACGCTTCCAGCGAATCAATACAATTCCACTCACAACTCCTTACCCTCCTAAAAAGCACTTGAGAATTAGTCTTAATCACAAAACGTTATAACAGATGATGTCTTTAACTCGTAAAGCATCCGAAAAAGCTAATTATTTGGCCATGAATGGAGAGCTAGCTTCCACCATCCTTCCCGAACCTAAAAATCTTCCTGAACTATCCCTCAGTCAGACCAATGCTTGTGCGCTTTTTGTTAGGACCTGTCTGAGTTTTTTTTTTTTTTGCCAAGATAGCAGCGTGTCATCCCCCTTTCTTCTCTCCCTGACTAATTGACTCCAATATTCAATGGCAAGCCTGATAACTCTTGCTTAATGATCCACTACATGGACCTCAACATGCTCAAAATCATTATCACACCTATCGTTCCAAATGTTCCAACAGAGACAAGCAAATAATGTCATACTGTACTCCTTAGATTTCAATATGCCTGGCAACCACTCCTCTAACTACCTATCCAACCTATGTCACTTTCCATAAACCTTATCATCAAAGGAGCCAAACTAGCAAGATTGGGCCCGAGGATACAAAAAAAATAGCATGCTCAATAGTTTTAACACACACTTGATATATACTACACATCGGATTATTACCACACTTTTTTCTAATAAGCTCAACCTTGGCGGCCAGTGCACCGCTCACAACTCTCTAAAGAAAGTGATTAACCTTTGAACGTACACGAATGTGCCAAATATTATTCCATAGACTTTTGGAAGCTTTGTACGAGCTACTAGGCTTCTCCTCCACCATTCCACCCCACTAATACCATCCCTACTACTCAAGTAAACATACTTATCAAACCCTTCCACAATAGGCAACCTCACCATGCTGATCCACTTCTTCTCTTCCTCATCTAACATACCTTCTACTAAGTTGAAGCTCCATTGCCTTTCAACAATTATATCAGCAATCTCTAATTTCTTTATGTCCTCGAAAAGTATTTTTTGCCTCAAACAATAACCGCTAACCAGTTGTCCTCAAAAAGACTAATTCTCTTACTATTATTAACCTTCCAAACTAGGTCTTTTTGAAGAAGTTCATGACCCTCCAAGATACTATACCATCCCCCTGAAGCCTTGTTTCTTTTTTTAGCCGACATAAAATCAGAATCTGGCAAATATCTACCTTCTAGAATCTTGCACCACAGATCCTCCTGATTTTGGCATAGCCTCCATGTAGTTTTAGCAAGCAAAGCTTTATTCATCAGCACGAAGTCCCTGGATCCCATCCCACCCTCCCCCTTATTTACACATACAGCTCTAGGACTTCCAATGAATCTGACCTTCCATTTCCTTTTGCCCCCATCAAAAACCAATCCAGTTTTATGCAAATTTTTTTAGGGAACTTAAAACAAGACATTGGATATATAGGTATAGCATTTGCTACCGCTTTAACCATAACTTCCCTGCGCATAAAGGATAATAAACTTTGTTTCCACCCTTACAACTGAGAACTCAATCTACTTTTCATGAAAGTTAAAGCTTCAGATTTACCCCACAAAATTGGTAGGCCAAGGTAATTTCTAGCTTCAGGGGTACCTCTAATACTAAGAGTTTGAAAGACAACTTGCTTAACCAAATCCTTTGTCTTCTTTCAAAAAAGATACAAGATTTATCAATATTAATTGATGATTGCCCGGAAGCCAAGGCATAATCATCCAAAATCTTTTTCAACAACTTGCAATTCCTTTTCTTAGCCTTGATGAAAAAGAGGGAATCATCTACAAAGAAGTACTGACAAAGCACTAGACATTTGGAGGTCAATTTAATACCTTTTAAGGTTTCCATGATCTGCATGCCACTAAACTATAATAGAAAGCACATCTGCAGAAATAATAAAAAAGGAGATAATAGATCTCCATGTCTAATAAGCAATCTTCTTGCCTTCAACCACTAGGCACAACTTAATTGACCTCACACATTCCATGATCCATCCACCCACTTCCCTCTCAATCCCATCTTCTCTATAACAAGCTCAATGAAATCCCATGTCAAATGATCATAAGCCTTATTCATGTCGATGTTAATTGTCATTTTAAATTTTCTTCCCTTCTTTTTATTTTTCAAGTAATGATAAGCCTCATGAGCAATCAAAATATTATCTTGAATCAGTCTTCCTTCAATAAAAACCCTCTGATTCTCAAAAATACTCTTGCTAATACTCCATGTGTTTTATTGGCAAGCACTTTAAAAGTGATTTTATAAGCAAAGTTGCATAACCCAATTGGTTTGCACTACCCCACTGACTGAGCATTCACAGCCTTAGGAATCAAGACCACATTAGTGCAATTCAAATCCTTTAACTTTGCATTATTCTAGAAAAATCAATCACCATATCCAACACATCATTCCCAACATCTGGCCAAGCTAGAGAGGCCATTAGGCCCAGGTGCCTTTGCTCCCCCTAACTGAAAAGCTGCAGCTTTAATTTCCTCTCTTGAGACAGGCTTTTTCAAAATAAGATTGTCTTCACTGGTAACTTGCCTCTGTACATATTTCAGAACCTCATCCACACCAGTTGATGAGAAAAGATCATTATAAAAATTCGTAAAAGCATTATCAGTATCTTCCTCCTTCTCTAACCATACCCCTTTGTTACCTCTTAATTTAACAACCTTATTCCTTACTCTTCTTCAGATTGTACTTGAGTGGAAAAATTTAGTGTTCCTATCTCCATTTTCTAACTACTTTATACGCGCCCTCTACCACCAATATACTTCCTCTCTATCCTAAGCCTCCTCCATTCTTTCGATTAAATCTTCAATTTCAATTATGGTGTCTTCTATTATCACGCTGCTACTATAAACCTTCAGCCTCCTTGTTAACTGCTCAATTGTCTTTCTTGTATTTGAAAAAGCAACTTTCCCCATTCTACTAGCATCAGCTTACAGCTTTCTAATCTACATAACAGTTCCTAAACCTTATCAACAAAGTGAACCCTATCGATTCTCTAATCTACCTTCATAATCTTCAGAAAACCAACATGCTCAGCCCAAAAAGCTTCAAACCTAAATTGCCTTAGTACACAAGAATGCTTAAAATCACAGTCAACAATAAGTATGTGATGATCAGAGCCCACGGGCTTAATGTGTTGAACCAAGGCAGTCTATAAAGCTCCATAAAATTCCATATTTGTCACTGCCCTGATGACCTTTCTTTCACATAAGCATTACCCATCCTACCATTATTCCAATTACTTTGCACCCTACTAAACTTTAGATTCATGACTCTACAATCTGAAAGCATACTTCAGAAATTCAACAACCTTCTCACATTAACCATCTATTGCTTGCCTTCTCAAAGCAAGAAATCATTAAAATTCCTCATGCGAATCTAGGTCCCGTAAATTTCTCAAGCAATTCCTCTCATCTCATTCCAACAAGCATCTTCTCTTCATCCCTACGTGCCCCCTCAACTGTAAAAGCCATACTTGTGTGAATAGTATTCTTCGAACAACACCAAACATTAATCACTACTTCCCCCTTCCAGATAAGAGCCAAACCTTCACTCTGATTTGAGCTAGGAAAACAGGGCAAGGCTGGCAGGCTTAAAAAGGTCAGCCCTACAGGATCGAAATTTCAAAAATATCCTCATTGCTAGGCCTGGCCCTAAAGCAGATAGGCTTAGGGTCGGCTCATAGGTTTTTGGTCTGTTTAAAATTTTTTTTTTCTATTTTTCATATTTCTCATATGTTTTGTCAAAAAATAAAAATAAACTAATAAAATTACTAGTAAAAGATATAAATATGAATAAAATTAAGTCACAAATACCAAATCATATCTAAATGTCCATTAATATACAAAAAATCTAAAACATCCATTAGACGTAACAAGTTAATAACATTAACATCCAAAAGTTTCATTAAAAGTAGACAAATGCTTTATCTTTTTTTAAAAAAAAAGTGGCAATACATGCCACTCAGCCAAAGAAAGATGATGGAGAGTTGGCTGAAATGGGCACTAAATACTTTTTGGGAAATCTCCTCCAAATCACTAGTATGGCTATCGAAATCATCAGCATTAGCATATAGGTTCTAGGTCTAAGTAGTAGTATTGAGTCCCTTAGCTATCATTCTTGAAAAATGACAGGGTTTAGCCCATTCCTCGAAAGACATTTTTATGAGATCCATATCTACCAAAATTTTGACTTTTGCTTCTAACAAATGAATAATCATTAAGTCCTTTTCTTTCTGGACAGCACATACAAAGAGACCTGCCAACGTAAAACATAATTAGTGAACTTATGAGAGATTTTTCTATTGAGTTTCTTGTTATAAAGAGATTTTATGATCACTAGAATTCA